ATTTGTAAAATACTCTCTTCTGCATCACCGGGGGTTGCAACACCAAATCCATCAAGATGTTACGGCACGATCGACTGCTGGATATCAACAGATACAGAAAGTACCGCGAAAAGGGACGGATCTCTCCTAGAGGAAATTCTAGTATTTCTACTGGAAGTAGCATCGGCACTGCATCTTTGAGCACTTCGCCACTTAGCTTTTCCTCTTCGTCCTTTTTTGGTAGTTCGAAAAGCGAAGATGATCAAGATTCAGGAATGAACCAAATAAACCGGAACGAAAACCATCTCGTTCACTATGCAAGTAAAAATAATCTATTGGATAAAACCAGGCGTCAGCTTCAAAACAAAGCCGAAGTGAGCCGTCAAAACAAAGTCGAAAGGAGTCGCAAGCTCGAGAAATTTGAAAAGTTCAAGCGCGCGAAAAAGACATTCGAACTCAAGAAGAAGCTTTTGGAGATATCCTATCCAGCAGAACCTAGTATAGCACAACTATCCCAAGTTTCAGTGACCAAGATGGGGGTCGTTCTTGGATCGAGTAACTACAAAGCTTCTGTTCCGAAACGAATTACAATTGTGGAAAGTCCAGCAAAGGAAAACCAATCCACAGTTTCGGGGAGTAGAAAGTCAATTGACCCTCCTCGAAACTTACTGCAAATTTCCACACAGACATCGACGCCGCGAAAAGCGCCAACACCGCGGAATGCCCCGTCGAGGGAAATGCAATCAACGAAACCAATCGACCCTCCTCGAAATATTTTGCATGTTGCAACTCAGGTGTTGTCGCCGCGGAAAGCTCCAACGCCTCGAAAGGCACCATTGAGAGGCAAAAAGTCAATGTCACCTGTTGATCCTCCGCGAAATTCCTCCCTGATTATCACTCAGGCGTTAACACCGCGGAAGGCGCCAACGCCAAGGAAGGCACCATTGAGGGATATCCAGCCAGCGTTGTCTTCCGATCCCCCAACTTTGCGAAGTCCTCGGACGCCAAGAGCTGCACCAATGACTCCAAGGGGCTTTGCTCCACTAAATCTCCCTAGCATGAAAGAATTGAAAAAACAGGTTGAGGATCGCTATGATCGAATCAAGCGAGAACCTCCATCTGGGAATGTGCCAACGACCCCACCCGTTGAAAAAGTCTTGGAATCCACTAGTATTGAGGATCGACACGATTCACCTTCGTTGTATAGTCAAAGCACATGCAAAGAGATAGTGTTGTACCAAAAGCAGGACGAAAGAAGAGCAACTGGAGCTGAGGATCTATCCCTACAAATTCAGGCAACACACAGTATGCAAAGTACATTGGGTTTTGATAGCATGTCGTCGCCGTACCAAGATGACAAGGGACAAACCGTGGCCAGAGTTGAAGAAACAGAGAGTCGTGCCCATTTTTGCGTGCCCTCAACACTGATGGCAGATCCGTACAACCGGAAAGTGGAAGGGACTGAGACACATCCAATCTGTCTTGAGGACATCATTGACCTTTCGGACGCTACCGAACCCCCTCCTACTCCGAAAACTCTCTCAAAACCTTCCCCTTTGCAGATCGAAACGTACACAACAACATACAGTCCGGCTTTCAACAGTTTTGATTACACCTTTCCCCCCAAAATGCAAAGCTCGCGATCCACAAAGATTCCGACCCCATCCATTCGTTTCGATTTCACTCCATCAAACGCTTCTGTACGGCCGAAGTCAACATCAAAGGCAAAGGCTGGAACAGCAACATTTAGCTTTTCAACCCCGTCTCCTGGATCCAGGCAACCACCAAACGAGATGATGCCTTCCTCAATAGGAAGTCAAAAAGGCTTGAATAGATCGCAATCCACTAGCCGTCTCTATGATAGAGATCCCTACTCCGGGTTGGCCAAATCTTTCGCAAGCACCGAATTCTGGCCGCTGAACCAGAAACGGCACTCCACTTTTCAATTCACAAAAACGCCGTCGAACGAGCGAAACTCACATTCGCGGAAACTTACACCCGAAACAAACCAGCACTCTGCCATGGTCATGCTGTCGCCAGAAAGCAAATTGCGTTTGAGTACATCGCTCTTTGTAAATCCCTCTGTTTCTGCCACGTCTACCAGCATTATCCCCCCTTCAGAAACCAAGGCGCCAAGTAGCGAACCAAGGAGGCAACGTCGATCAATTATTCATCGTCAAGCGACAGACAAGGAAAGATTCGCGATGCAAAGGGGGCTACGGAAACCCGACGAGAAGCCTGACAACCACAACACTGTCCTCATCAGAGATAGACGTCCTATGACACCGCGAAAGCAGTCTGTGGCGTTGCAAAAAGCAAACGACGAGCAACTTGGTCAGGGAGATGCACTCGAAAACGCCGACTCAGAAGCGGCTCAAAGGACTGCAAGGATGATCTATGCTCAAGATTTTTACAGAATGATCCAGAAACAGAAATTGCGGGACAGGTATCTTAATAAGGGTCGAAACTCGAGAAAGAGACAGAGGTGCGGTGGAAATGGTGTCTCTTTCGTCGTTCGAAAACGACCAATTGCTGATACTGAAGTCGATGACGGTGAATATGATGTTGTCAATACAGAAACCAGCGATGCCCAAGGAATCATCGTCTACGAAACGAAAGTACTTTCGGACATGAAGGCGAAAGAATTGGTCCCACATTCATTTCGGTGCAATGAGGTCATATCTGACTTGAAAAGTATGGATGATCTCTATACCCGTGTAGCCCAACCACTTGTAGATTTAGTCAATGGAGGTGGCTTCGCAACGATAGTTATGTGTGGTACGGACGGATCAGGAAAAAATGAAAATCGCGTTGCGATTGAAGAGCGCCTGGTCAAAGACATATTTGTATCACAAAGAGAAGCAAAGACAGTAACAGTGCAGTACGTTGAACTATGTGGGAAGAATTGCTACGATTTGCTTTCTCCTGGTTCGTTTGTTGAGGTTGTTGATAAAGAAGGAGGATATTTCAAATTGGAAGGTGCCAAGGTGGAAACTATCAGTACTGATCATGAGATGCTGCGAATGTTTTCCAACGCCAAGAGAAGACTTGTATCCAGAACAAATGTTCGAAAGCAAAAAGATGAGAAGTCCTTTCTGCTGTGCCAAATTAAGATTAACCGACATGGTGTCAGTCCAACTGGCTGCCTCTCGCTTTTGGAGTGCCCTGTAACCGAGTTCGACGGAGTTTGGGTTCCAACAGTGGACACAACAACAGTGAAAACAACTTTTGACACACTGATGCAGTGCATTAGCGCAAAAATCGCAAGGAGAACAATCACGAATCCGTTCCGTAACATCAACAATATTACGAAGCTGATGAAAGAAAGCTTTGAAACAAGAGAGTCGAGAGTCTGTGTGCTCTCCACAATTTCACCTGTGGCTACAGAAACAGAGAAAATTCTTACAACGCTCTCATCCATGTGTAATGTCATGCGTGGTTCCAAGCCGAGACACAGGGCGACAAAGAATGGACCGTTACAAATCCATAACAGTGCAGTGCTACAAGACGAAAGCTTATTTTTGCCCCGGCAGTGGACAAATGAGCAACTCATGAGCTGGATGACGAAAAAGAATCTTGTTGACAATTCAGTGTCCTCGAAGGTCAATGGTAGAGTGGCCATGAGACTGACAAAGCAACAGCTAAACCAAACATTTTATGATACGGCCAACATCAACAAAGCGTCGAAGCTTTACGATGCATTGCGAGCTGAAAATGACCGCATTGCCCGTCTTCGCGTCAAGAGACGAATGTCCATATCGCTACAGGAATATAATACTTGAACAGCAGAGCTCAAAACATATTCATGACGGGAGAGTTAGCGGAGGAGGTGCTATGTATCATTGCTGTCGGCTTAAAGTTGAATCGCATTTCCAGCTTGACGGTTCTTTCCGTCAAGATCTTTTTGGGGCTCATCGGGATCTTTCGTTGGCCTCTTCGTTATTTTTCCGAGGAATGAAAGTGCTGCATTCCTTCTCTGATCTGCTTTGTCATCATCTCTCATGTCCATCAGAATGAGTTCGTTCATCATCGATGCGATCTTCGGATTTGTTTCTTCCAGGCCAAGCTCCAGGAAAGTTTGATATGCTTCTGTCCAACACTGTCGGGCCTGAGCTTGATTCCCTTGTAATTTGTGGATATTACCAATCGTGAATAGTACATTAACATAATCAGAATCATTCATGGCGTTGTTTTCCTTGCGTATTTTGATGAATTCTGTGAAAAGATCCCTTGCTCTATCTTGATTTGCTGAGCGGAACTCAACTGTTCCCATGTACTGCAAAACAGTTGCAACTCTTTCGTCCCGTTCCCCAAATACTTTTGTGCGTATCTTGAGGGCCTCCTGGTAAGCTTGCATGGCTTCTTCATTCTTTTTTGTGTCACCATAAATATTTCCCAAAGCGATCAACGAGTCGGCTACTTTTTCATGCTCCTCACCAAGTTCAGCTCGGCGGATACGCAAACATTCTTCGTAGCACTGCACGGCAACGTCGTAATCCTTTTTTTCTCGATGCACGTTTCCAATGTTGTTCAACGTCTCGGATACCTTTATCTTGTCTTTCTGCTTCTTGCGGATTCGAAGGGCATCCCACAATATAGTTAAAGCCTCTTCCAAATCACCACGACTTGCTTTGAGAAATCCCATCATGTTGAGTGTGTCTCCAACCTCCTTTGAATCGTCCCCAAGCTGATACTTTCGGATGCTCAACGATTCATCAAAGCAAGTTAATGCGCGATCCAGTTGACCGTTGGTATGCAGAGTATAGCCCATGGAATACAAAGTTTCAGCAACGGCCACATGAGAATTTTCCAGCTTTGCTCGCCGGATATCCAGAGCATCCATATAGTAAATCAGAGCCTGGCCATACTCCCCTATATCATCCATTAAGTCCCCTAATTCTTGCAACACAGATGCAACTTTGATGTGATCCTTGCCATGAATCATTTTTCGAAGTCGCAATGCCGTTTCGAACTCAATTTGCGCTTTCTTCATTTTCCCAATAGCTCTGCACAGGGAACCTATCTTTTCGTGAGTCATAGCAACTGTTTCAGTTTCTGGTACCCGCAATGCTCGAATTTTCAGAGCTTCTTCAAGACATCTTAGTGCCTTATCTAAACGATTTCGGGATTTGTACAGAAATGCCATGTTGAAAAGCGTACTTGCAACATCAAGGTGCACATAGCCTAGAACTTTTCGTCGCCCACGCAAACTTTCTTGAAACATCTTAATCGCCTTTCTGTGCTCTCCACCTGTAAGATACACACATCCAATCAAGTGGAGAAGGTAAGCTATTTTCTCCTTGCGATAGGGCGCTTTTGTGACAAGAATCTGAAGGGCTTTCTCATAGCATTCGAGGCCCTGCTCTTGGTTTCTCTCAATGAAAAGGATGAACCCTTCCAGTGTCAGAATATCAGATTCGCCTTCTGCACCACCGTCAAGGTCAAGTTCCTTGAGTCTTATCGCCTCTTCAAGATGAACAATTGCATCATCATCATTACCTTGCTCTGACAAGCAATTACCGATGTGCTGATAGGTGACGACTAACTCTGGATGATCTTCTCCAAGATCCATCTGCTTCGACCTTAAGGCTTCTCGGTGGGATTTGAGGGACTCTTCCAATTCACCTTTACTTCTATGAATACTTCCTTTGTTGTCAAGGATTTCGCCAATGCCAACTCGATGCAGCGCCGGCTCTCTATTCATGACCTCAAGGGCCCAATCATAGCTCTCAACTGCTTCATTGTAGTCACTCATTCCCAAGAAAATGTCACCGATCTTCTGAATTGTCTGAGCATACAAAATGTGGTGCTCGCCATGAATTGCCCCACGGATTCGAAGACACTGCTTTATCGCATTGAGGGCTTGGTCGTACTCGTTCATTTCTGCATAAGAAACACCAATGTTGTACATAATCCCAGCGACAACTTCGACAGTCCCCAGGGCGTTTTCAAGTAATTGTTGACTTGATTCCCAATGCGCGATTGCCGCATCCCAGCATCGATGTTCTGCCAAGGAAAATCCAATCTCATAGTGTGACCTAGCAATGTCAATATCCTTCATGCGAGCGTCTTCCACCAGCTCGATATCATACTCCATCGTCAACTGGCTTCCTAGAGAGTGATACGCCCGTTTCATGATACTCCTTTGCTCTAGCTTTGAGATTTTCGAACGTGTTTCGCTGAGCTTCGTTGAGAGCAGAACGCAGTCCTTAATGTGCCTTCGTGTAGCACATTCTCGCCCAAGCGACATCAAACGCCCACGGACAAAACCCTTGTTTGCAAGAAGATCAGAAGCTTCGTTGTACATGGCGCCGCGAATCATATGAGAAACGATCATTTCAAGTACATAGCCATGGCCAGCGTCATCAAGATTGTCATCCCATCTGTCGACATCCTTAACAGATGCTTCTGCCAGGGCTCGATTCCATTCCTGTTCTGCATCTCTCGTCAACATTTTTAAGGCAGGTTCTTCGAAGCACAAATATTCTCCATATTCATGATGAATACTGTGCACTACTTGAAGAAATTTTTGGTCGCCATCCAGCTCTTCGTGTTCATCTTCATCAGAGTACGTGCCAACCTTCAGCACACCCAAGGCAGAAAGAGCCTCAGGGATTAAGACGGCAGCTTCTTTTTTCTGGGCATAAAATAAACTGCCCTCCTGAAGGAGAGCGCTCTCGTTAATTTCAAGAAGTGTTTCAAAAAGCAACTGTGCCATGCCCATTGGTACAATGGGAGTTGGTTCGGTCAAGGCAAATTCTGATATGTGTTCTTTGTCACAGAACACTATGACAAAAGCTGCGAAGCAGTACTTGATGATATTTGTTGCTTCGCCATTGATTGCAGGACTGAGACTGAGGCTCAGGATTTCGTACATCATGTCAGTTCCAGAATGAACCCCACCCTTGAGAATCTTCTCCATCGACTTCACAACTTCTGCATGGATTTCTTCCGCACTGCTCACTGCACCAGCTGTTACATGTTTCAATCCCAACCAGCGACCAACGCTTTTAACAGCTAATGGATGATTCGCACATTCTCTCACAACAGATATAGCCTCTTTTGATTCTGCCATGAGTGTGTGAGAGAGTTGCCCTGATTCTTGGATTAATAATGCTATGGCATCAGCCTCATCGAGCATGTCTACCTCCACAGTGTCTGCCGCTGGAAGCAAATCACGGGCGCGTGTGCTCACTAGTAGTGCGACGTCGGTGCCTTGATCGTCCTGAGAACCCTCTGGCATGGGCGTAAAATCAAACCAGTCGAGGTCTGGTTCAAAACAAACATCATCAAGGATGATTAGGACACTCCTATCTTCTAAGAGCTCAACAATTGTGTCGCGGGCGTAAATCATAAAGCCCTCTTCTCGTCGTCTTCTCTTTGTCAGGCATTCTCCTGGGGTATGAATTAGCTCCGCAAACAAAGGCACCCCGTCGTAAAAATCCAATTGTGCCACTAAATCCCGCAAACACTGGGTGTACCGACTGTAGGTCAACTCTTTGTCACCGACATAAATCCAGACCACGCCGTCGATAAAGTATCTTCGGACATCAGGATGTTCTGCAACCATTGCCGCAAGAGTGGTTTTTCCAACACCTGCAACACCTAATGCACTTGGGTCATTCAAAACTTCTGGAGCAGACGTAATTGCAACAAGATTAGTTGCAGAGAGACCAAGAGGATTATCCAATGTATTTCGAATGCTCGTAAAGTTGTCCAGAAGCGTCAAATCCGTCATCGCTCGTGGAGGCAATATTCTTCTCAAGATAGCTGCAAGGGCTTCAGAACGAGGCAAGGGATCCCCATTGATTTTGTCAAGGATGTGCTCGGCTGCTCGAGGAATAGGCGCCAAGTCCTCCTCCTCGAGGTATTCTGGATCTGGTTCTTCTTCCAATATGTCGGGGTCAATATCACAAATTTCCATCAGCGTATCAACATCGGGGCACCATTGATCTGTGCTAACCATAACTTCATAGCATAGTTGTCGGAATAGCAACGGGTCATTTGCAGCAAGCTCTAATGCTTGCAGTTCTTCCATATGACCGGTTGCAGACCATGCCTCATGAATATTTGCTGATATTCCCTGTTCTGGGACGTCTACATTTTCAAAATAGCATTGGAGTTCGAGTGTCTCGAGTTCCATGAGTTCCAAAAGAGTTACATAGGTTGTCTCCGCACGATCGTTCCACTCCTGTTTCTGCCCGACTCGGTGTGACGTTTCACAAAGCAAATCCACCAATGAGTTCAACCGAAAAAGCATATCTTCCATCTCTTCGTCAGGTTCTTCTGCAAAACAATTAAGGATTATTGGTTTCAGATCAGCGAACAGTTGATCGAGGCTCTCGGCGAAACTCAAGACTTCTTTCAGTGCATGATAAGAAGTTATTGTATCATTTTCTTTCTTCTTTTTTAATCCTGCGAAGGTGGACATTAACTCAATTTCGTCAGAAAGCTGGAGAAAGATACCCATGAGAGCATCGAATCCATTCAGCAATTGATGTGCTGAAGTCTCTTCCAGATTTTCGTCTTTTAATTCCTCTTCAATTTTTTCGAGTTCCAGCATAGCACTGTTCACACTAGCGACAAATGCCAACAGTGCCGGGCTCTTGGCTTCTTTTTTCACTCGTTTTCGTTTCAGTCGCTTTTTCCTTCGTTCTTCTATCTCCTTCGGAGTCCGCATTTTTCGTGGTTTCGCTATGTCTTTTTTGTCCTGTCCTTTTGAGCTCTTCAGCGATTGCCCTCGTCTATCATTATTCATATTCGCTTTCCTCCACGACGGACTCCTCTTGCCACCATATACTTTCTTTTTCCTCACCGAGGGAGTTCGAGTTTCATCTTGTATTTGAGGGGTAGACTTGTGCTGAGACTGTGATCGCCGTGATTGTGATCTTTGAGACACTGATCTTCGAGAATGCTGGGATTCAAATCTTTGAGACACCGATCTTTGGGAATGCTGGGATTCATTTGTGGTTCTTCGGGAATGCTGGGATGCAATTGTGGATAGGCCTTTTTTAGCTTTTGGGTCTTCTTTGGCCTTTGGTTCTTCAACCTTGTTGTCAGAGAAGAAACTTTCAGATTTCCCAAAGACTTCTCCAAGGTTTATGGAACCTTCGGACATTTGGTACTTTTTCGAGGGCGCGTCAGATTTATTACTCCTGTCTCCATTTGTGGCGCGACTTCTCTCATCCTGCATGCCAGCCTCCTGATCATTACCTCCAGCCTCGAACTTCTTTGACAATTGGAGATGAGATATGCTCTTCTGGGCATTGGAAGCTACCGACTCTGCTCCATCATTTCCGGCTTCCTTCCTTTCGGACCGTGTCGACGTTTCAGATGCTTGTTCAGCTTCCCCTGCATACTCTGGAAAAGACATCTGGGAACGGAGCGAAGATGCGGTTGACATTTTAGTGGAATGGGAAACCGATCGATTTGTATGTCCATTCGTCGTTGTTAGTGACTGGATTGACTTGCCAATAGCATTTTCTGGTTCGTCGAATTCAGACCATGTGTCGCTATCACCTTCCGAGTGAGATGAATTTGACGATGGCCTTTGCTCTTTTGAAGCTGGTTGCGGCAATTCGGGGTCTCTGTTTTCAGTTTGAAATGTAGCATGGGGGTCCCATGACCCGCCCACACTCGTTTCTTTTGAGGATGAAGCAGTAGAATGCTGTGACCGCACAGATTGAGAATCCATGTCATTGTTGTGGTCCACAAGTGATCGCGTTTCATTATTGGTCGTAGCCAGTTGATCCGCTTTGACCACGGATTCCATCCGATTGAATCCAACGGTCGATGGTTCATTATCAACCTTAAATTCTTCGTCAGAAGCGGATTCACCCACACTATCACGTGTCCCAGAATTTGGCAAGGCGCTGGAGTTGTTATTTACGTTCTCAATTTCTTCGGATTCCACGGGTGATGGACCCCGTTCATCCTGTGGTTTAGAGTCAGCGTCCGTTTCAGGAACAGACCAATCATCGGCAGAACTGGCGAATGGGAGATCATCGTCTGCAGACCGATGGGATGATTCGCTGAGATAGATACTTGTCTCGATACTTTTGTCTGCATCACCGCCATATGAGGACTTTGGTTCACCGTGGAACATTGATTTTTGCTCTCCATCTGGTACAGGAGAGTCCACAATGGATTCGCTTGCTTGGGATCCGTCACTAAAGCTTTGCACTCGAGAACTATTTTCTGATGCATCATTTGAGTGTTCATTTGAATCTCCAGAGAAATGGCCTTGTGAAACCACTGGTTCTTCTAGAAGTACACCATCCATGTTCTCATCATCTTGATTAAAGCCAGGAGCATCACCACCCCAAGCTACTACGGGGGAGGAGTCAGTCAGATCAAATCCATCGTCAACAACGGATGATTTGAAAAAATGATGGTCATCTTTCTTTTCATTCCCTATAACCACATTCTGGCTTGTGCTTGATCTTGAATTATCATAACCGCTGTGAAAACTGGCCCCAGCTGCATCACCTTCTGGTACGTTCTCGTCGTCTTGATCAAAGTCGGAGTCAGTCAAACCAAATCCACCGTCCGCAACGGGTGATTTGAAAAAATGGTCGTCGTCTTTCTTTTCATTCGCTAAAACCACGTTCTGGCTTGTGCTTGATCTTGAATTATTGTCATCGCTGTGAAAGCTGGCCTCAGCTGCTTCACCTTCTGGTACGTTCTCATTATCTTGATCAAAGCCAGGAGCATCATCGTCCCAGGAGTCAGTCAGACCAAATCTATCGTCCGCAACGGGTGATTTGAAAAAAGCATGTTCGTCTTGCTTTTCATTCGCTATAACCACGTTCTGGCTTGTACTTGATCTTGAATTATTGTCATCGCTGTGAAAACTGGCCCCAGCTGCTTCACCTTTTGGTACGTTCTCATCATCTTGATCAAAGCCAGGAACATCATCGCCCCAGGAGTCAGTCAGACCAAATCCATCGTCCGCCACGGGTGATTTGAAAAAATGATCGTCGTCTTGCTTTTCATTCGCTATAACCACGTTCTGGCTTGTGCTCGATCTTGAATTATTGTCATCGCTGTGAAAACTGGTCTCAGCCGCTTCACCTTCTAGTACCTTTTCATCGTCTTGATCAAAGCCTGGAGCACCACCGCCCCAGGAGTCAGTCAGACCAAATCTATCATCCGCAACGGGTGATTTAAAAAAAGCATGTTCGTCTTGCTTTTCATTCCCTATAACCACGTTTTGACTTGTGCTTGATCTTAGATTGTTATCAGCGCTGTGAAAACTGGCCCCATCCGCTTCACCTTCTATTACCACCTTTTTTATGTCGGCATTCCCTTCAATACTAGCAAAGCTATTTCCTGCTGCATTATCTTCAGATGACTTAGATCCAGCAGGCGATTTGTCACCCATGCCCTGGTCTACAGAAGTACCACCTCGTCTCTCAATTGATGTGGCGCTTTCTTCATTTGCAGCCATAACAAAAGCACTACCATCAGACGATGCTGTTTGCTCTCGCATCGCATCAAAGGGCTGCTCATCGCCCATTGAATCCGCAGAATGGTTCCTGTCGATAGGTAAGCCATCAGAAACGTTGTCTGTAGTACTTCTTTGTCCTTTCGATTCTGGGACATTCATTTCACGATCACTATTGTCACTACTGCTTCCAAGGATGCTGGGACTATCATCAATATCTTCTTTATTTTCAAACGCTTCAAAGTCTTGTCGAGCTGCCATTGCTGGAGAAACAGGACGCATTGGAGTGACAACTGCTTCTTCGCTTTTTTCTGACTCAAAGGTGACATCGCTATGTCGAAGTGTATCTTCTACGACGACGTTTTCTTCCTCTTCCGCATCTGTGTCACCTTCCTCACCGATCATCTCAGATGCAAATGATTGGGACGCTTGCTCTTCGTGGTTGGACGCAGTTCCTTGGGGCCCATGCATATTGCTGTCAGTACCCCATAAATTGGCAATTCTAGCTTGCTCGTTGCTGCCGCCATCATTTTTAATTCTTTTTGATTTTGAATCAAGTAAATCAGAACCCTGGCCAAAACTTGATTGCACTAGGAGCCCAGCCCAACCGGGGGCCATTCGTTTGTTCTTTTGTGAATGCACGTGTACAACTTCTGTATTGTTAGTTTCTTTGCCAGTATAACAAATACTTTCATCTCCGCTAACATCCTTTTCATGTGCAGGCGATTGCAGATTGCCGTTAACCAAAGTTTGATTTGACGTCTCAGGACCTTGCATATGGGTCCTACTCTTGACTTCCGACTCATTTGAAATCTCCGTTTCCCTATCGTCTTCACCCCAAATTTCTTCCAAAGGACCTTCATCAAACTCTTGAACTGCACTGGATGATTCGATATCCATAGTTCGTTCTTGGGTTACCGAATCCACACCCGTCTTAGTGTCAAAGGCAACTTCGTCTCCCATGCGTTCCCCGTCTGGAACATCGATGTGATTCGCAGCATCATCAAAATTGCTACTTGCCGTGCCTCCACCTCCTTGGAACCCGATCGATTGTGGAGATAGCAGGCCACTCGACGGCGGTTCTAGATCAGACCAATCATCAACTTGGCTCATGTTCGAAATTGAGCCACTATTTTGTGAATCACTTCCGTGGTCGTTGAGTTGCATTGGAGTACCTTCTCGCTCGACAGTATCTCCCTTGCCACCAAGATCAACACGAGTGTCGCTCGCAACATTATCGCCCTGGATTTTAGTGAATTCTTGACTGGATCCACCTGAGGGATGTACGGGTTTCAAAAAATCTGCCGCTTGACTTTCTCTTGACTGCGAATTTCCATCATCATGGTGGTCAAATTTGCCGGCTGCCACCATATCATTCTTGACGTCCGTTGCCGCATCATCAAATAAAGCACCAATCTTCCCCTCAAAAGGAGCAGAACTGCCATTCATTGGGTGTATAAACCCATCAGCCTCTTGCTGCTTTTCTTGTGGCACTTTTACAGCTTCTTGCCTGTTCGACATCGAGCCGTCCTCATGGGCAAAGGAGTCACCTCTTGGCTTTACTGGTTCGGCACTTGACACTTCTTGCTCATGTAGGCTGCTGTCGGCATCCTTCTGCGCAAGACGTCCGCCTGCATCGACATCAATTTTCAATGCAGGACCTGCTTCCCATGAATCTTTGATCAGATTTTCTTGCATCAAATCCAAAACTTGGCTTGTGCTCGCGAATGCATCATCATATTGGGGACATGGGTGTTTTGCGGAGATCTCACTTCGTTCTTCTTCCAAAGTTTGCTCGTTTCCCTCTGAATGGACGAACCTGTCAGGCTCTCCGTCAATGTTTGCTGCATTAGTAGATTGCTGGCTGGTCGCTTCACCTACTTGTTTTTCTGCGAATGCATTGGGATCATTAATTTGAAAGCCATCATCTCTAGGTTCGTCATCGTTCTGCTCTTCCATGTCTTCGGCCATGCTCTCTTGATTCCATTCCACATTTTCGTTTCCGTTATTGCAATCATCTCCAAACGATGGCAACGCTCCAAAATCTTCAAATACATCATCTCCTGCTCCACCACAAGAGCCACCTTCAAACGTATTCTCTTCTGCTTCGGTGCTACCAAAGCTACTTCCAAACGCACCGTCACCTTCAATACCAAAGCTGCCTCCACATGCATTGTCTGAATGGAATGCAGCATCTACTGGTCTAGTATGTGGTTCAGAAGAATCAGAACTTTGCTGCTTTCCAAAAGCATGATGTTGCTCACTCTTCTCTCGTCCGAAGTCATCAAAATCTGATGGATTTGACTCTGGTTCAGGAGAAAGACGATTGTGCACTCTCCCAAATGAATTATCTCGATCTACGTCGTCCAAGCCACCTACATGTGCAACGTCTTCTTCCTGTTTTGAATCTACCGGATTTGACTCTGGGTCTGGTGAGGGAGGGTGTTGCATCTTCTCAAAAGAACCATCTTGACCTACGTCGTCAAAGGCACCTCCAAACGCATTGTCTCCTTCCAAAGAAGAATCTACCAGGTTTGACTCTGGATAAGGAGACGGATGATTTTGCATCTTCCCAAAAGAATCATCTTGATCAATAGTCTCCCCTCCAAACTCATCGTCTGTAAGTACATTGTCAAAGCCAGCTCCGAAAGTTGTGTCTCCGCCCAGTGCAGAATCTGCAGGGTTTGACTCTACTTCAGGAGAAAGAGGACTTTGCATCTTCCCAGAAGAATCATCCTGACTAACTGATTCTACTCCGCACGAATGATCCTCTCCCTCGCCAAATCCAACTGCAAACGCACTGTCGCCTTCCAATGAAGGATCTGCTGGATTTGACTCTCGATCATGAGAAAAGTTAACATTCATCGCCCCAAAAGCACCACCCTGATCAACAGTCTCCATTCCAAAAGCTTCATCCTCTACAGCACCAAAGCCACCACCAAACGCATCATCTCCTTCCAATGAAGGATCTGTAGGGTTCGGCTCTAGATAAGGAGAAAGAGGATCTTGATCAACAGGCTCCCCTCTAACATCATCAAAATCCGCTTGCTTTGACTCTGGATCAGGAGAAGGAGGATCTTGCATCTTCTTAAAATTATGATCCTGATCGTCATCAAAATCTGCTTGCTTTGACTCTGGATCAGGAGAAGGAGTATCCCCTCCAAAAGATTCATGCTCTGCATCACCATAGCCACGCCCGAATGCATCGTCTCCTTCAAAGGAAGGATCTCCAGGGTTTGAATCTGATTCAGTAACAAGCGGATCTTGCATCTTCCCAAAAGGATCATCCCTTTCACTAGCCTCCCCTCCAAATCCATCAAAATCGTCAAACGGATCATCTCCACCAAACGCGTCGTCTCCGCCAAACGGATCATCCCCAAAACCATCACCCCAATCTGATTCTTTGGTGTCATCCCAGGGAGAAGTTTCTGCCCCAAAACCATCGCCCCAATCTAATGGCTCCTTGTCATCCAAAGCCTCTTTGTTTTTTGGGGACCTTTGTTTTTGTTTCGATTGACCCCAGTTGTCACAAGGACTGTCACTCCGATTGGGGCTTTGTGGTGACGCATCGTCGTTCATTGGAGCATTGGCTGGTGGCGGTCCCTCGTGCTGGTCCCCTTCTTCTTCTAGTTCTTCGTCGAATTCCATGCTTCCACTTTCGCTCTGCTTGGAATCGGAACCATTTTCGGATTCTACCATGTCAGGTTGTTGCAAAAACTCCATGGCAATGACATCCGAGGTTTTGGGAGATACTTCCCATCTTTGATTGGGCGAAAAGTCCCCCATGGCTCCCGAATCGTTATGTCTTGTGGAAGACTCCCACAGTTTTTGTGAACCAGCCATGGCCTCGGAGCCGTGCCTGGTGGAAGATTCCCACAGTTTGGGTGCCATCAACTTGTCTGGGGGAGAAACCATTGATTCGTCGCCGGGAAAGCTGTCAGAGCCTTCTTGTTCTGTGTTGCGATTGTTTCCTGCGCGTTGGGTATTGTCTCTAGTGTCTTCTTCAATTTCCCTAACTGCTTCCTTCTCCGTTTCTTCTTCTAGCCAATCTTCCAAATCCAGTCTTTCATCTTCAGTGAGAGCCTCCCCGACTCGTTGTCGTGCAAACAACTCAAGGCAGTATAATCGGTCATCTTCATCAGGAGTCAATTGTTGGCCATTCTCTGCAAGCTCAATAAGTTCTTCAAATTCCCTTCGATAAGCAGCAGCACGGTCTTGGATAGAAATTTGCTGCCTCGGCGCTTCTACTTCATCTTGCGAAGACACCGTCCTTTCCAACCTACTCGAATCAAAGTCTGATGGAGCTGTTGCGTTGGCAAAGGAATCATCCAAGCCATCAAAGGAAGAACTAGACGTGGTGGTGCTTCCAAGAAAACCTTGCCGTTGTTCCGGCGGCGGAAAGCCCCCTTCTGGTGACCGAAAGGAGCCATCTTGACTTGAAAGGTAGGGATCCTGAAATGAGCCTCCTTCTCCTTCGCTGTAGTAGGAATCGGATTCGTCGTCATCGTATTCACCATCAGAAAAGCCTGCATCATCCTCGATTGGTTCGGAAATTTCGTCATCGTCTTCCTCAACGTTGTATAAGTTGTT